TTACAAAAGTCTTTGGGAACTAGGCGGGACATGAGTACAGCCTACCATCTACAAACAGACGGACAAAGTGAGAGAACAATTCAAACTTTAGAAGATATGTTGCGAGCTTACATGATAGACTTTGGTAAAGCATGGGATACTCATTTACCCCTTGTCGAATTCTCTTGCAACAATAGTTATCACACTAGCATAAAGGCTGCTCCTTTCGAATCTCTCTATGGCCGCAAGTGCAGATCACCTCTGTGTTGGGCTGAAGTGGGTGACACGCAGCTAGCTAGAAGTCAAGTTCCCGACAGTACTCTCACTGGTCCGGAAATCATTCGCGAAACCACAGAGAAAATCGTACAAATCCGGGAGCGACTTAAAGCTTCCAGAGATAGACAGAAAAGTTATGCTGACAAAAGAAGAAAACCTTTGGAGTTCCAGGTTGGTGACCGCGTCATGTTAAAGGTCTCACCCTGGAAGGGCATGATACGCTTTGGAAAGCGTGACAAGTTGAATCCAAGGTACATAGGACCATTCGAGATTCTCGCTAGAATCGGTCCAGTAGCTTACAAACTCCGGCTACCTCAAGAACTAAGTAACATATATCCTGTTTTCCACGTCTCAAACTTGAAAAAGTGTTTGTCCGACGAGACTCTTGTTATCCCACTCGACGAAATCGATATCGACGAGAGCCTCAACTTCGTGGAAGAACCGGTAGAAATCATGGACCGAGAGGTCAAGCAAACAAAGCAAAGCCGTATTCCTATAGTTAAGGTTCGTTGGAATGCCAAGCGGGGACCTGAATTCACTTGGAAACGCGAGGATCAAATGAAACTGAAATATCCTCATCTTTTCGCTTAGTGGTTTGTAATTGCTTAATTGCTTAAAACTTTAATTTCGGGACGAAATTCTCTCTAACGGGGGGATAATGTAACATCCCGTTATTTTCTCTTTGTAAAGTCAATTTTAGTCAACCAAAGTCAAACAAAGGTCAAATAAAGACCTTTTTATTGTTTGGGTTTTTAATTTAGGTTATGATAATAACCTTTAATATGCTAAAGTCCTTAAAACATCTATAGTTGAATTTAGAAGGAAAGGGCTTAAAAACCGAGAAACTTCGCATCCTTTTCTTTGCTTCGGACCGCAAACACTTCGGGCCGCAAAAAGTTTACGGTCGTACACTCCTCGGACCGTAAACTTCTCGCAATCATAAACGAGGCTTCGACCGTAAACGTCTTGCCGACTTCGGACCGTAAACTCCTCGGTCGTAAACCCTCGCACATATATATAGAATTCCTTCATTTTTCACCATTTCTCACACTTTTACCTCAAGAAACCCAATTCTCTCTCAACTATCATCAAGATTTACACCTTGATCTTCAAATAAGTAAGTGTTTCTACCATTCATTAGTTGATACCTTGCTTATTCTAGTGAAATCCTATGATTTCATCCAGGAAATCATCTGTTTTGACAAGATCTTCAAGAACACCAAGAACACATACTAGTTCTGTAGACCGTGAACACCTCATTCAAGCTTCAAAACATAAGTATCCATCTGAATACTAGTTATTCTATAGAAACTCATAACATACACCCTTGAAAACAACCATTTTCCAAGAACATAAGAGTTTACGGCCATGAGCATCTCCCTTGGCCGTAAACTCAAGATCTTCTTAGGCCGTGAACATCATTGGCTGTAAACTCCATGGCCGTGAACACCTTGCGTGGCTATAAACCCCTTTAGAACAATCACATGTGATTGTAACACTTAAATTCAAGTGTTTCCTAGTCCCTAAAGTGGTTTCCTATCATAATTAGTTGTTATATACACTAATTATATCCATGTATGTGATAATATGCTTAATAGGATCCGTTGTGTTCAAGACTTCACTTGACACTTAGCATCCTACACTGATCTTACATTTTAATAACTTACAACAGGTGAGTTCATACCCCCGTATTTTCATAATTTTTACTATTTTAAGGGGGGAATACAAGTCTAACACAAAGTTTTTGTGTTATAAACAAGTGATTTCAAATATCTTATCAAAATGGATTTCAGTTATCATCAAATCAAATTGTTTTCAATGTTTGTTTCAAAATGACATCAAGTCAACAAAATGAATTTCAAAATATCAAACTTCTTTTAAATGTTTTTATAAACTTATATTTCTCCCAAAAATCATACTAGTATACATATATATTTATATAAATAAGATTTAAAAGGCTTAGGACTGATAACCCACTTTGGTTCCTTTTCCTTGTTTGGATGTGGGATTACAAGTATCAGTTATTTATCCGAGTGTCATTTAAATTTTACTTATATATATTTGTATATGTATAAAAGTATATAAGTTAGTTCGTTAAGTTCAATTACCCTTTGTAACATGTTGAGCAAAGGGTTACATTTATGAAAACACGGTATCAATTCAGATGGTACATATAAATTATAATAGGTATAATTTATGTTTCAAAGAACATTAATTCACAATTCAAGAATACTAAAGTACAATGTTTTACAAGAACGAAGGTTTGATTCAAAAACTATTCAAGGGTATACATTCTTTCAAATACATGTTAAGAATACTAATTCAATAACATACTATCAATTATTTATTTCAGGATGATTGGGTTTTCATAACTATTATACATGTAACGTTTATATGCTTTTATGAGACAAGTAGTTCAGGTTGTTTAATTCATTTTAAACAACATAGTTAAAGTCCTGACATTATAACCAGAATATCCAGCGGGGGGATCGAAACAATGTATGTATAGATCTATATTGGGATTGACAACCCCGCACTCGGACTGCTAGATACAGTCAGACATACACGTCTGTGAGTGACAAATTGTTATCAACAGTTTTCAGCGCATTCATAGTGTTGGGTCAGGCCATCTAGTCAGTATGGTTATAATAACTCATAAAAGATATTAACAATATGTTAGTGTATAATTAACTAAACTTATGTACACTTTCAAGTACCAAGTTTACAAGATACAACTTACAGTATTACATTACAGTTTACAATAACAGTTGATGAATTCAGACATACTATCAGATATAAGTTTACAAAAGGATTACAAATACAGAATATTGGTTTACAAACAGAACACTTTTATGTAACTAAAACTACTTTTCATATACAGCAGAAAATATAGGATTTTCTTGAAACAATTTAATATTCAAGAAAACAGAAGACATTCCTTCAAAAACATAAATACTTATGCACTCAACTTTATGTTGATACTCTCTTTTCAAATTACTTGTATTCTCAGGGAACCAGTAGACAGGTACACCCCGAGCTTTTGAGAAGATGGAGCTATTATGTCTTGTCTTCTTCTTTTGTACAACTATTTAGTTTCAGTATACAATGTTGAAACACATGTAAATATTTATATTTTTTTTTTAAATACAATGGTTGTTTGTACTCTGATTACTATAATGCATGTGTTGTGATACTACAAATGAAGTCCTCCACCTCCGGACGTTTCCGCCGTCTGGTTTGGGGGTGTGACAAGTTGTAATTACGGAAAGGGCCCTAATTATGGATTATGATCTATTTAGTGATTGAGATTTATTTATTTGTGATTAGTGTGGGGATTTCCCATTTCAGGAGTTCGAGAGAGAAATTGGTTGTCTTCGGATCAAGGTAAGTTTCCTTCACTGTACTCGTAGGTCGAAGGCACCAATGTCTGCCCACCAGATTATGTGTGTAGGGTGATAGTTGTCCTTGTGACACTTACTGTTATGTCTGTATGTGCTTGTTGTCTATGTGACTTTTGCTGATATGATTATATGCTTAGCTGTAGGGGTGAAATAGTCTCGATACCGATTAAAATTGACCTACAGGGGGTGAAATAGACCCAGTACCGGTTGAAAGAGAATGAATGTGGTGAAATAGACTCGGTATCGGTTGAAAAAGACTGAAGGGGTGAAATAGACCCATGTTGAAAGAGACCGAATATTTTTTGAGTGTTATGTATGTATGATATATGGTATTTTGAAAAACTCAGTAAGCTTTGTGCTTACAGTTTATTTTTATGGTTTCAGGTACTTCCGTTTTCAAAAGGAAGAACCCGACTTGATCACACTGTATCGCTCGTAGTTTTATTCCACACTAAATGTTCACAAATTACTCTAATGTTTTGAGAATGCTTTGACTCTGATTGTCTTTTGGAACAATAATGAATAACTTTAACTTATTTAAAATGAAATTTTTACTTGGTATTTTTTCGGCGTTACAAGTTGGTATCTAAGCCTTGGTTTGAGAGATTCGGGCACACTTTCTGGCGTTACAAGTTGGTATCATTGTTCACAAATCCAAATTTGTTTTCTTAACGTGCACATTTTAACGATACAAGGATCGTTCCAAGTTAGTTTTGAAAAGACCAAAATTATAATTTACCCTATAACTTACTCTTGATTCTATCATTTTCTCTTCTATAATTATACAACGATGTCACGTCTATTAACTACTACAAAAATACATATTTTAGGGCTTTTATTTTTTTTCTTCTTACTACTGTACAGCATTTTAGATTTTACCAATTATCCTTTCTTTACCTCCATCGATCTGATAGAATCCGGCTGCGCCGCATGCCTCGGTCCCGGCACATCCAACAGCTTCTTGCTAGGTGCATCCAACGGCGACGCCCCTACCTTCACCGATAAAAACCACCGATTCACCCACTCCACCATCTCCGGGAAAAACGCCACCCAATACACCGTCGTTTGGATCCACTTCGGCTCCGACATGTACACATCTCCCCGACAACCACCATCAACAACAGCCATGGCAGACGCCGTGGCCAACTCAATCGGCACAATACTCATCTCCGCCTATCAAAAAATAGAAATTAATTCATCTCTAAATAAAAATTATATATATACATCGATCACTTACATCTCTCATGTCCTGATCAACTACCATCTCCCCGTCTTTATTCATGATTTTGCCTTGACTCATTTCCGATTCCGTCAACCCCGGAGTACGCGATTAGTCGCTTGCAATCATCGTCCAAAACGCTTGATAGTTTCGTCGATTAGTCGCTTGCAATCATCAATCTGGGAAACATCAGTCGGAATCGCGATGGCTTCCGGTGCACCGAGTAACTTGGCGGTTTCCGCAACATCACGGAGGCTCTGCTCTCTTCTAGCAGCCAGGACCAGATATGATCCTCTTCTGGCGTACTCATACGCGATATGCTTCATTTTGATGAACATAGAAGAACTTAATTTAACAATTTATAAACCCTAATTATCGCCGAAAGAGGAACTCAGAAATTTGAAGAACTTAATGTTAAATTCGAAGTAAACCGGATTATTTACGATTTACGAACCTCACCGATTCCTGAAGATGCTCCGACGATCAATACAACTTTTCCGGTGACATCTTCCTTAAAAATGAAACGATTGATATAGCATAAAACTTTGAAAACGCAATAAAGCGGAGTGAGGAAGAAGATTGCATGGAGGGTTACTATAGGAGCAATCAAATTGAGGAGTCTGTGAAGAAAATCCATGACTATTGGTATCAAAAATAGCAGGGAATAGTCTTATAGTCATGTAGAACAGTAGAAGCCAAGAAGAAAAGAGGAGGTGGCGAAATGCGCAAGTGGTCATTCTTCGCACTGTACACGTGGCGTCTAAAAGTCAACAAGAACACATCGGATGCATAACAGTCCAAATCCAAATTCGAGATCCAAAATAAAAAAAAAGGAAAATATCGGCTATAGACATTTTTTTTAGATTCAATTCCAAAATATACAAAAAATTGGATTTTCGGGTATAGACATGGATTCCGCGGAGGTAGCTCCGAGGAATCCACTGTAGCTCCGCGGAATGGTAAAATCGTAAATAAATCAAAGTATTAAAAAAACCCAAGATTCATTCCGCGGAGCTACCTCCGAGGAATGAACTCATTCCGCGAAGGTAGCTTCGATGAATGGATCTTTAGAAAAAAAAAATTCACATCAATTCTTCGGGGTTTATATTCATTCCCCAACTAATTTATCGGAGCTACCTCCGCGGAATGAGTTCATTCCTCGGAGGTTGCTCCGCGGAATGGATCTTGAGTTTTTTTTAATACCCTGATTTATTTACGATTTTGTCATTCCGCGGAGCTACAGTTGATTCCGCGAAATCCATGTCTATACCCGAAAATCCAATTTTTTGTGTCTATATTTTGGAATTCAACCCCAAAAAATGTCTATACCCGGTATTTTCCCAAAAAAACAAAAGGTCATGCTATAAGTACACCTTAATCAATTTAACCCCTTAACATCAATCTTATCAATCTTTTACTTTTTATTTTTGATTTGACATTATTTTCTTTCTTTTTCTTTTTCTTTTTTTTTTGTTTTTTTCCCTTTTTGTTTTTTTTGTTTTTTTTTCTTTTATTTTATATATTATTATTATTATTATTATTATTATTATAAATTCCGATAACCATATAAAATTAGGACAACTTTTTAAAATTCGGACATCATTATAAATCCGGACGACATTATAAAATTCGAACGACTATATAAAATTGAACAAAAGTAAAGTTTTTTTTCAATCTGCATAACGCATCACGCAAATATAATACCAAACCAATTAATATATCTATGATAAAAAAAGACAAACTTTGCTTTTATTCTGTTTTATATAATCGTTCGAATTTTATTATGTCGTCTAAATTTATAATGTCGTCAGAATTTTAAAACTTCATCCGAATTTTATACGGTTATCGAACTTTATAATAATAATAATAATAATAATAATAATAATAATAAGATTAAAATAAAAAATAAAAAAGAATTAAAAACAACAAAAAAACAAAATAGGGAAAAAAAACAACAACAAAAAAAAAGTTGCATCAGGGGGATGGAATTGGAAAAGAAGAGGGGTACTTATAGCATTAGCCAAACAAAATAAAGTGGTCCAAACTCGAAGGTATCGATTAATTAATGTATATGTATTTAAGGAAAATGAATCATAAAGGTAACTATGGTTCAAAAAACAATATTAAAAAAATCATAATTTGAAAATAAAGTTTTTGTACAAAAAACACCAACGAACTACATATACTGTTCAAATTTCATCTTATGTTAACGTCAGTTACCAGTAAAAAATAATTAAAAGAACAAAAAACAAGAGAAAATGACTTAGGATGGTAACTATGTTTTAAAATCGTTTAAAAAACATTATTGAAGTTTGGTATGTTCAAAAAACAACATTCAAATAAAGTCTTTGTACAAAAAACACTAACAAAAATATTTTTTTTTAAAGGTTACCCACCGGTAACTAGCTCTTGTAGGTTAAAGGAAGACTTAGGCTAATTATTAGTGACATGACATAATAATTAGTGACATGTCATTAGTTGATACTTTCCTCCTTTAAAAATCGATTTAAGGCTTCTTCATGAACGGTTGATTGGAATTTGTGAGAACAAGGGGATAAATGTCTATAAGTCGCTCAAGGAATGAAATTTATGAAAATTGAAAGATGCATAATAGTTTGCAATACTAGTTGTTCTAAAAGACAGGTATAATACTAGCTGTTCTAAAATAAAGCTATGTATAGTATTAACAGTTACACATTAATACCTTCTATTCTAACATAATTGGAATTATGTATAATACTAGTTGTTCTAAAAGAAAGGTACGTATAGTATTAACTTACTTTGTCATGATTTTACAGTTCTTATATTTATATAATAATCTATTTATATTTTCATCTATTAGGTAGATGAATCGTTGCAAGAGAAACAATGATGATATATGTAGTCCCTATGAGAAATTAAAAATCAAGATAGTTCGTGACATTTTCTTTTGGTTAATTCTCTTCTTTTTTCCAGTTTTGGACAAAAGCCGTGTATGTTGCTGTTTTGGAATGAAATTTTGAATGATTATTTCTATTATGTGTAAAGAATGAAAGTACGGGGGTATTATGTGTAAAAAAATGAAAGTATGATGTAATTATATGTTAAAATCATAGTACGATGTTGTTATGTGTAAAAAATCAAAGCACGATGACTTTAAGTGTAAAAAATGAACGCATGGGGGTATTATGTGTAAAAAATGAAAGTACGATACTATTTTGGGTAAAAATGAATGTACGATGCTCTTATATGTTAAAAATCAAAGTAGAATGCTTTTATGTGTCAAAAAATGAAAGTCCAATGCTATTGTTGGTAAAAAAATAAATATACGATGATATTATATGTTAAAATCAAAGTACGATGCTTTTATGTGCAAAAGATGAAAGTACGGGGGTATTATATGTAAAAATGAAAGTATGATGCTAATATATGTTAAAAATCATAGTACGATGCTATTATGTGTTAAAAATGATAGCATGATGCTTTTATGTGTAAAAAATGAAAGTATAGGGGTACTATGTGTAAAAACTGAAAGTACGATGCTATTGATGGTAAAAAAAATGAAAGTACGATGCTATTGTTGGTAAAAAATGAAGTACAATGCTATTGTTGGTAAAAAACTGAAAGTACGATGCTATTGTTGGTAAAAATGAAAGTATGATGCTATTATATGTTAAAACTCAAAGGACGATGCTTTTATGTGTAAAAAATGAAAATCCGAGGGTATTATATGTAAAAAAATGAAAGTACGTTGACAATATATGTTAAAAATTAAAGTATGATGATATTATGTGTTAAAAATGATAGTACGATGCTTTTATGTGTAAAAACTGAAAGTACGGGTGTATTATGTGTAAAAATTGAATGTACGATGCTATTATATGTTAAAAATCAAACTACAATGCTATTATGTGTTAAAAATGATAGTACGATTCTTTTATGAGTAAAAAATGAAAGTATGTGGGTATTATGTGTAAAACATGAAAGTACGATCCTATTGTTAGTAAAAAATGAAAGTAGGCTGCTGTTAATGTCACACCACCGGCCGGCGGCGGAAACGCCGGGTGGTGCAAACGAGGGGAGATTGGGCCGAGGCATATATATATATATATATATATATATATATATATATATATATATATATATATATATACGTTCAATTGTTTCTCACATCTATTTTGTGCTAGAATGCACCAATAAAAATTTAGTAAAAATTATATGTATATTAAATGATATCCATACTTATAATTCATTTTTATGAAAACTAATTAAATTCGTCATTAATCTCAACAATAATATTCTTTCAGAATGAATTCGTATCTAGAAGAATGAGAGTGTATTCTAGCAGAATGAGACGTTCTTCATATTCAATGCAACTTTATTGTATTTTAAGTTATTAAGTTAGTGAGTACTGAAACAAAAAACAAACTCATACATAAAAACCTAAATGTGAATTTATTTTGAAAGAATGTTATTGCTGACATTAATGACGAATTTAATTAGTTTCCATAAAAATAGAATTATAATTATGGATATTATTTAATATACATACAATTATGGAAATCATTTAATATCTATTTTTATCTAATTAAATAATAATTTAATTTTACTAAATTCCTATTAGTGCATTTCTAGTACACAATAAATGTAAGAAACACATTAACCTAGCCATATATATATATATATATATATATATATATATATATATATATATATATATATATATAATATATATATATATATATATATATATAACATAAAAGAATATCACAAACATTTCTTTTATTGATTATAAATAATTCTGGAATTACATTATTTTTGAAAAGACAAGTACGCTTCCTAAACAGGATTAAAGACAATAAACAGACGGTACTAAACTTTAGCAACTTCCTTGTAGATTTCCTCCTTGACACGACCATCCTCATCCTCCTTAACACGACTATTATCTACACTCATCTCCCTGACAATACATGTATTTTTGAAAACGTCAACATAATCTTGGTGACCGCACAATTTTTTATAGTTTTCGCTTTTATTTGGTTGTATGATTTTACTAACCCTAGTTTACTATCTTTTAGGATATCTAACGATCCTATTTTATTATCTTCCAGAATATCTAACGATCATATCTTAGTATCTTATAATGATATATTTATTAATCCTAATTTACTATCTTTGTAGGAAATCTAACGATCATAACGTATTTTATCTACCATTCTAAGGCATCCCTAATGGTAGTCTAAACTCTAACGTGATCTAATGTATTACCATGAGCCCCATAATCGACGCTTTTTGACTAATAATTTTTCCCTGACACGACCCTTCATCGGACATCGAAGAGTGAATAATAAGAAAGTTCATGTCGGGATTGTAGGTAGCAATTGCATGTGTGTAGCCAATCCTCTATACATATCTTTCTAGATCTCGCAAGATTAACGATTATAGGTATCTGGGGAATGTCGAATTTAATCAAGGCATTTGGATGAATTAACAACTCATTAACGCATTGACCTTAGGTTTTTATCTTTTATCTTTTATCTTAATCATTCTTAGGGATTTCCTATAATTATCACAATATAAATCTTTTATCTTATATTTTATAATTATAACTTTTGATTTCATAATTATTTTGTATATATAAGTATTCATATATATAAC